ACAGACAACCTTAGTTACGCACCGAGGACATTGATAAGACCATCTGATGTACTCTCCCCCTCTCTCTGAAAACAGTTAGCAATGCATATTACCTGTTCCATTGCCATAAGTGTGATCGTGGTTTGGCCTGAGGAGCGTCGTCTTGAAGTATTCACCTCCTAACATCCAGGCCAGATCGTTGTTATATGTGTTGTTGTTCTTCCACGTGCACCAGCCATCTTCGAAGTCACAATTTCTTTCTTTTGAGCTGCGCAGAAAACAACAAAACACAGAGGTTCTAAGGAGTATATATCCCGTAAAAATTTATGAAAACTCTGTAGAAATCATGTGGGGCTATACTGTTAGCATAACCTTTTATGCCGCGTCTTATTTACCTTCAAGCACCGAAGGTTATCACCATGCTCACAGTAAGTCGATGCTAAATTTTTTGAGCGTGTAGTTTAATAAAGTCTGCAGGCGAGTACCGCAAGAGAGTGAGAGAAAATCAGGAGAATGGTGGGGAGGTTAACCAGGGCTGAGCCAGGGTAGGCTACCCTGCACTGGGAAAGCGGAGAGAGGAAGGAAAGTTATAAAAGGAGGAGAAAAAAAGTACTACAAAATACAAAATATGAGCCCCTGCTTGTCACTGCAGTCTTCACATCAGTGAGATTTCATGAACCCTTGAGCAAGTTTTTGTAATAATGACAGCGATGTTTCAATTTAGAGCGTAGGATCAATAGTGCAATGCGCAATAACGTAACAATGAACAGCTACCAACTCGTTCCAGTAAGTACCCCAAAAACGTTTCGACGATGCTTGATTATTGCAGCTACACAGCAACCAGTACGCCGACCTCAGTTAGGCTCTTTAGCGATTGTGGTGACTGCTTGGCGTCCAAAATGTCACAAATGGGGGGTGTAGAAACGAAATCGCTTCTCTTGGAACACACGGAGACAGTAGACGCCATCGAAGCAAAACGAATAAAACATTCATTGTACTACTTTTACATCGACTTATCACCAGCTGAATCAAACATATACGTCACTAGAGACACGCTGAAACAACTCTATGAAATATTGCAATACACTCAATCCAGCATAGGAACGCACGCAAGGTAGCGCCAAGGCGGCGTCCCCATCTCTGAACTCACCACGAGGGGCCCCTGGGGAGACGACTGCTCGCGCCATCAGTAACGCACCGAAAAGAGCCGCTCATGTTTTACGTGCCGCCACCCAGCCTCGCAGCCAAACTTTACTGCTGGCGCTACCAGGCTGACCATAATTATGACGAACTGGCACGCGAACACAACGCTCGTGGGTTATTAACCATAAATGTGACCTATCCGCGACACGTTCTAGCTAAGAGGCAAAACGACCTCACAGGGGGTGTTTGCACCTCCACACAGCATAATGTCATGGGCTGTTCTGAAGGTTGTGCACTAAGACCAATATTCTCACGCCTAGTAACGATAGTGCACACAATTTCGTAACGAAAGGAGGTGGCGTGTATTCATGGACCCAAACAGAAGACCAAGGTCAGAAAACGAAAAAGTTCATTCACAGAAAAAAGTCCATTGCAGCGGTAACACTTTATCCACGCACGCACAGTTATGAAGAGGTATACCTGTGGATCCGACACTGGCGGGGTTATGAGCTTCTGGCTTCGGCTTGTTCTGCCACTACCATATATGGTATGGCTTTATTACCAAGCATGCATCTTCATCTTATTGCCTGTACCACACTGTACATTCATCAAATTTAAATCTGCATTTATACTCTCCACAATGCAAAAAATAAATAGATAGGGAACTTCTGAGTGTGACCCGTATTCTTATTAATCTCTGATTAGGACAACGACCTATACGATCGCAGATCTAAACATTTTATATAAATTTAAAACTAATGTTAGAAGAGGGGTGGGGAGAGAGCTGTCTTAAAATCAAACCCAATCTATTGCCACAAGTTTCGACGCTACAAACGAAAACTCTGAAACCTTCTAACATGATTACAACATTACATTTGTGATCCGGCTTTGGCTGAAGTTTATAGATCGTCTGCACTGTTGTTCCTCAAAACAACCATGCTTGGGAACCGCGAAACTCACGCAAGCTTTATAATATCAAGCGCTCATGTTACCATTTTATCCCTAGCAAATTTTTTCGTTACTGATAGACAGATACAAATAAAATTCTACCCGCATAGTTATCGTACTCAAAACGTCTAAGTGCAAATTGATTATGCGGCCTCTACGTCATCAGGGCCGCCATATTCGTGAACCAGTGCGTTAGAGTGCTGTGATGAAGACGTCACGGGCAAGGTATCAATTCCATATTCTCTCGCGCATAACCAGCACACTGAGCAACTTTTCCCACAATTTCTTCAGCGATCGCGTATTGATTAAAGCTAGATTTTTTTCTGCGTAGTTGTGTAGCTTTACGGTGAAGCCACCTTCGCTCGTCAATCAGTTTCTTGTGGTAGTACGATAATCTTACACGCAATAAAGCCATTTATTCGCATCAAAAGCACCAAGGCGGAGGACACACTTCTAGGGTGTCCGGACTTGGGGATCAAGAAAATTACTTCGCGAAAATGACATCACGAAAAATACTTCACAAAAATGTTTTGCTTGACGGTGATGAACGAGCACGTTGAATCACAAAAACAACTACGTAAACGAATTTCTTTTACAAATGCACTCTCGTGTTTTCTTAGTTTTTTTGTAGTTGTTTGCATGCCGTGCGAATTTGGGAGCTCCGCCTAAATTTGAGTCCACTTACAATTCTGTAAATATAGTACTAGAGGCTGAAGACAATATGTTTTTTGTGTGCTAGCGAAAACCGGCATTCTTACATGGCACGTACGTGCACCTCATCGATAGTTGTTGCCCTAACGAACTAAAGAAGACCTTGTCTAATAATTTGCAAGGAAGGTTTTGCTCGGTCAATTGTTTTCCTTGTCAGTATCTTCCGGATACGTAACATAAATATATAGCTGCTCCTTGGAGTCATTCTTAGACATCCTGAAGAAACTTACACTTGCACACAGACCCATGGAAGAATTCGAATCAGAGTAGTACACAAAATTTCCTTGCAGTTCGAAATCGCTGTTATCCAGAACTTTGATATTTCTTGTTTGTCATAACTACAAGGTGCGTAAAGAAAGGCGAAATATAATACCAAGTGCTTTGAGATGCTATACTACACCTATTCAATCTGTGGTGCCTATAACATTTTGATGCAGTGACACGTGAGCGATAAATACATATCCACTCATGCAATTAAGAAAAATACACCTTTTCTTAAATTACACTGAAAGAATACATACTTTTTCGCAAGTAATTTTTAGAACTTACTCGTTGTCCCCACGCAGTCATGTAGCTCGATGTTATCAATGGCGCAAGTGACCTTTTGGTAGACTTTTCCAGCCGTTTGAGCATACGTGAACATCATCTGGGAAAAGGAAAAAATCATTGGACTTTGTTGTCATGGGTGTCCCGCATATATACGGCTAATGAATTCACTCGTCTTAACGGATACTTTGGGTGAAGTGCTTCTTTGATAAGAAGCGGAGACTCTGTCATTTCTAGGAAACACCTGATGAGAAGTCAATCGTTGTATGACATGATCTCACAATACGGCATAACTTACCGTGAATTCTTCCGTTTGTTTGAATGCCACGTCTACTGCGGTCCAAACGTCCCAGACTAAACCTTTGGTAGATCGCTGCCAAATGTTTTGCTGTTTCGAAGTTCCTGGAGAACACCAAACAGAACTCTCGTAAATCCTGATTAATTGAAAATCTCTCAAATAAATTATATTTCAGTTTCACGGCCGTATACATGGCTGCATATATGTGTAAACCTAATAAAAGCCAAAATGAATTTCTAAAAAATGCTTGACATGACATTCAATTCCACGATTTCAGCGTGAAAAGAGCAAATTCCAAGGGAAGAGACGTACACAGAGTAGAACTTCTAACAACAATAGCTTATTTCTCACTCATACACCAGCTTTGAGCAGAGTGGTCACGTGAATACGTTTCAAAAAAAACAATATCATCATTTACATCAAGGCTGCACTTGCGTCGATGAGACTGATAAAAAAGATGCATAGGCAACTCAAAGACAGGCTTTTACCGTCCCATGCGCAAAAGTGTAGTACTTCCGTACTCAAAGACAGCAGTGGTGTGCTAACGCATGCGTCATCGATGCGGTCAATCTGTTGTGCTTCAATTATTTGCCTGGCGATTTCGAACTAATCTCTGCTCACGGCCGCAATTCCCCGAAAACTTTTGTTTCCATGTACAACTCAGGCAGTCTTGCGCCACAAAACCATCGGGTGGTAATATTTTCTACTTAACGATTCTGCTCACTGAGGCGGACACTCAGGCAGTAGCTGGTCTGGCCAATATAAACGGTGCAACAAGACAGAGGAATGCAGTAAAGAATGCATGTCTCACACTGAACAAACACTTCTTATTTGTACTTTTTTGGGCATACCAAGCGAGGTCTCCTATCAGAATGAGCTTTTTAAAATGCGAAGCGTTTCTTACCGAACTTCAGCGACCATGAGAGTATCTATCTATCTATCTATCTATCTATCTATCTATCTATCTATCTATCTATCTATCTATCTATCTATCTATCTATCTATCTATCTATCTATCTATCTATCTATCTATCTATCTATCTATCTATCTATCTATCTATCTATCTATCTATCTATCTATCTATCTATCTGCCTGTCTAGCCATTTAGGTCTTTTACATCTCCTGGCAGTTTTGTTGATGAGATTCATACCATTATTGGGATGGCATAACATGGCTGCATGACGAGCATAAGTGACTAGGCATAACATAAAAATCATGCGACGTGTGTCACGAATGTCCTGGTTTTTGTCTGATGGTCTTGCGGCTCTATCGGTGGTTTTGTTCACATTACATATTTAAAAACTGGTATGGTATGACAAGACTGCGTGGCAAACATCACTGACAGGCCCTAACGTGATAATCATGAAATGCATGTCATGTAAGTCATGAGTATATGCAATACGCTCATGGTGCGCTTGCGCTCGTTTCGCTAGCTTCACATATGCCAAGTTTGGTATTATGTGACGTGAATGAATGACGAAGGCAAATTACATGTGCAAACATGACAATCATGATATGCGGATCATGTAAAACATGACTACATGATACGCTCATAGTGCACTCGTGGCCGTTTCACAAACTGCACATATAGCAAATTTAGTACGACGTGACATGAATAGACGACGAAAGCAACTGATGCGCCCAAACATGCTAATCATGACATGCCTCCCATGTTAGAATATGACTTTATGCCATGCTCATTATGCGCTTGTGAGTGTTTCGCTAGCTTTAGTATGCCGAATTCTGTATTATGCGAAGTGAACGAACGAGAAATGTATGTGATAATCCAAACATAATAATAATAATAATAATAATATAATAATAATAATAATAATAATAATAATAATAATAATAATAATAATATAATAATAATAATAATAATAATAATAATAATAATATAATAATAATAATATTAATAATAATAATAATATGTGTGCCAATAAAGCACGACCACGTGTAGCGCTCATAGCGCGCTCACGGCCGTTTATCCAGCTTCAAATTTACAAAATTTTATATCCCGTGACCTGAATGGACAGCAAACACAAATGCAAGGCGCATACATGATAATCATGGCGTGGAAGTCATGTACGGCATAATTTACGTGCCAACCACTTCTATGGCTGGTATTGCGAACGTTAGTGATGCCGTCGTTACACGACAATAAACAACATACTAGCACCTTATCTAGATTACTGAGTGCGCAGAACATTTCTACTTGCGTTTACGTATACTACATTCATGTGCCTCGTAATGTTGTGGTGATATTAAATAATTTATCAATCTTCCTGATTCGTGCTCTGCATATGATCAATTCTCACTGAGCGCGGAATCTTAAAATCTTTTTTGCACAATTTACTGAGTTTAAAAGTGCGTTAAAAGACAACATGAGCGTCAACTCTGGCTGCTAATAGTTTCAGGTTGTGCAATACCTGACGAATATAAGAAAGGACTGCCCTACGTTTGTTTTCAAAGGTGGGTCGACCATTGGTGGTGGCCCCGCAGTTCATAACTTTATATCCCCTCTACAGAATCACGCTACTGAGAGATGGAAGGCCAGAGTATGCTGCTGATTATAAACGTGAACAGCGCTGAATAATGGTTTCTCAGAGCATGTGAGTGTATGAAAAATAATCGAGGCATCTCCGCAAAGTGAATGACGACGAGTGAATGAAGCTAAGTCCTGATACCCACTTTGTCTACGTTGAAGTTGTCGGCTATTATGTATAATTTGTGCTTGTAGGTGTTTTCTATTTCTTTGTTAAAATCATGTTGGTTGTTCATATATCTTAACATTTTTTTGTATTCCCACAGTTCATATGTTTCGTCTATAGCAACAGTTTTCTGTACATTATAAGAGCGGATAGTGAGCGTCGACTAGAAATGAAGCTAGGTGTTAATATTCATGTGTACGTTGATGTCGTTGGCTATTATGTAGAGTTTGTGTGTCTAATTTTTCCTATTTCTCTCACAATCGGGATTGACATTGATCTATTGTTAAACCTTCTTTTGCGTGTGTGTGCCTCACGCGCACGTGTCTGTCCCTGGCGAAAACGGACGTCGACGTACAAGCCTCGACCATAAGAAGCTTCGTCCTTATAGAACAACATATATATCTGTGTCCAAAGCCTTATCTTATTTCACTTAACTTGCCAGCCCCATCTAATATGTTTCTTGCTATACAAATGGTGAGTCACAACTGTAACGTATTTTCAATAACACATTTTGTTCGTCTGGTGTGATATATTTTTTTTTTTTTACAGTAAGGCTGTTTAGCTGAAATGGGGTATTTCCCTCGTGGATCACAGAAACCCGGCTGGCCATACAGCAAAAAAAGGTATTTGACATTCAGCTTTTCGAATTTCACAATACCATTCACAGTACACCATACGTGTACTGTGAATGGTTGAGAAAGGTAGGAGAGCGTGAGGAGGGGTGGCTTGAAGGTTTGGAATAGACAAAAGAAGAGAACACACTAAATGAATTCATCAACAAAAATAAAAAATAAGCATAGTAGAGCCCAATAGAAGTGAATAAGCATGAAAGAAGCCGCAATAAAGAGGCTAATAACAAAAACTCAGGCTGTGTTCGCCAGGTCAGCGTGCTTGCCTGATAGCCTCGTTGCGCACTTACATGGCACAAGTGTGCAAATGGCTTTAATGTTCAAGAGCTGGCTTGCCAGGTTTAATAACTGTGGCGATGTACCTTGTGGCAGGCGACATCTGCCGGTGCTGCAGCTGGTACTCTGGTTTTAAGATTGCTCACTAGATGGCACGCCTATATCAAGAACTCGTTTTGCTGTGCTTTCTCTCTCTTCTCCAAGAGACCTATGGATGGGTGCACACACGGACAAATTGATGGATGGGCCGAGGATTGCATGGACGGGCGAACGCACGGATGTTTTTAAAGTGAGGCCAAGTGATATTAGGGTATACGGTATTCATGTAACGTATAGAGCGCATCAAAATGTAAGGTAGTAAACACCGTGTGGATATGATGTGTATATACATAACGTGGTCACGTCTTTCTATGACGGAACAAGAATATGTAGCGAGAATTTATGGCTTACCCAATCACGTCCAAACAATCTCCTCGAGCATAATTAACTCCGTACATAAGGCACAATTTCTTTATCGTTTTCTCAAGAAATGACAGAAGGGTTCCGCGGCTGCAATCGACAGTGCTATAGAGGACATTCGAACATTTACAAGAGTATTAGCTACAGTTTCCAATACTTCAACAGCACATTTTGGCATGGTTAGGGCACCGTCGTGACTCTTGCAATTTCCTCTACGTCACTTGATGTAATTTTCTTGATCAACGCTAGTGTACTTCAGCATAGTTTCAACGTCAAGCCTACACCAATGTCATCCTGCTTTGTACCACTCGGCGCTGGGCCTAGAGAAATAGCTACTCATTTTTTCCCCAGTGAGAAGGAAGGCAGGGTTTGATCACACTTTATGTATATTCATGCAGCTATGTGCACGTGTCCAGTTAAATAAATAAGTACAAAAGGCAAAATTTAAATGGGTGAAACAATCTCCACATGAAACCGCTTTTTTATAAGGCCAGAACTGTTTGTCTATATTCAACTGTGAGCGCTTTAGAGCACTATACGTACACTACTAAGGGAGAGCTTAAGCTGTCCGGGTGACCTGAGAAGTCAATAACAACTAACTGATGTGAAGACATGTAGAGTACGAGAGCTTAAGCTGTCCGGGTGACCTGAGAAGTCAATAACAACTAACTGATGTGAAGACATGTAGAGTACAAGTGCACTTGCTGACCATCATGGCTGTATATAGGGCTCTGAATATAACTGCCCTTCTAGTGTTTCCAGTTTTGCCATCGTCACATCATTACCTGTCGTACTCATTTACAATGAAATATAGTAGTAGTTGCGTGAACACTGGAAACAGCTTTTTGCTGCTTACGATATGGAATGAAATCTTTTTTTTTTAGTACGTAGTTCAAGCCTGATGAGATGTAATTACAGCTGAAGCGAAGATATGCATACAAAGCTAAGCTGACAGAGATTGTGCCCTGATGCAGATCCATTTTTCTCGAGCTCATTTATTGAAATCGAAGTAATTTTAGGCACGAAATCTGTGAATCAGTGTACCGTTAAACTACAAAAAGTTGGCTTCGGGCGTGATTCTAAGTGGGTCATGCAGTGTGATTGTGTAATTAATGCAGTGAAGGAAGGAAAATAGGAGGAAAAGAACGGCAGGGAGGTTAACCAGCCTATAGGCAGCCAGTTTGCTATCCTGCGCATAGGAGGGCGATGGAGGAGATGAAAGATAGAGAGCAGAGAGGAAAGAGAGATAAACACAGCACATTCGGCAGCACACGTGCGCACACTCAGTCATAGTCCAGTCTTGTCTTTCGCGGTGTGTGACATTGCTGTTGCAGCCGCTTGTTCAAGTCCGGGTCTCGTAGGAATTTCAACAGAAATGCAGTGAAATATTATCATACAAAGAGGGATATATCATGTTGGACTGTTGAAACATCCGACTACAATTCTTGAACATTTTAACAACTAACCATGCCAAGCGACCATCTATTTAACACAAAATATTGAACATTTCTCACACACCTTAGCAAACATGATAATAACATAAGATTTAACAACGATTTCCTGTCATTCTTGTGCATGTTGGTCTTCATTCTTGAAGAATGAAATATATAACGCCATGGCAAACAGGCACGCATTTGTACATCAACACAAAGACAGACTAAATCAGTCTCGCTATCTTGCTTCACTGAGTTGCAGGAAAGGTGTACGTGAATATATGTGGGGTCATTTAAAATCAAGTATGATTTGGTGCCAAATAAAAATTACGATGAGAACAGGCAAAGCAATCAATAAAGCACTGACGCGTAAAAAAAGACAAACATATTTTCTCGTGGTAGTGACCGCGAAGAATGCTGCAGCAAAACGGGAAAATACAAGCCCCCGTAGAATGAAACCTCAAAATATATAAAAGTGATCAGCGCTTCTGTGAGATATTGCTGCGAGATATTGGTCGACCATCGAGTCATCTGACCATCGAGTCATCTGACCATCGGTAAGTTGTGTTGGCATATAGAGATGTGGCTTTGAATATTCCATATTTGTCCCCGGTGGCCACGTTAGTTTCAAAAGAAACTATGCTGTGCGCGATCTGCGTACAAGCCTTTCAGTTAAATCCAAAACAATGGATTATGTTCGACATTTCGGCACAACGCGTGCGAGACTATATATACTCATGCAATGAGCTTGCTGCAACAGAGCCACTAAAGTAGAAAAGAATAGAGCGCGTGGCAATGTGGTTGGGTACCTGTTGAGGAAATGCTGGTCATCAAACTTCCTCCTGATTTTTCGCTCCCTGATATGTAATAGTAAAATTGCAGACACTGTACATTCTCCCTGCCAGGTAGAGTTGGAGACGCAAAAGATTCTTGCAAACGGCGTCCGGCTCCCTCCAGGTAGGCCATGCCACCTGCCAAAAGACACATGTGGATTAGCAGCTTCAATTCAAAATATACTCTTTTGGTAAAGTACTTCAATGCTTCTCGATCTCTACAGAAACGTACATAAAAACGCTCTCACATACGAATTCAGATGACCCATAAAACACGTGGACTAATGCATCGTTGGCTAGCGTTTGTTTACTCATACAATGAGCTTGCTGCAATAGAACCCTGCCGGCAGAAGCTCCGCAGTCCTCTTTGTCTAGAATATGTTCAAGAATTAGAGAAGGCAACTAAGCAGAAATAGTTGGAAATTATTTTATAAACTGCTTGCCTGATCTTATGCGCAAGGCTTCCTTACTACACTGCCAATGTTTCTTTAGGAGTCATAAAAAAAGTCATAAAAATATCAAAATAAATGCCGCGAAATTACCGATTGACGTCTTTTCCTGAATGGTAGTAACTTTTTTTCACTGACAGTTGTTTCAAACTTCTGACAATCCTAACAATAATGAACTACCATGCAGAAGTTGGGGTAACACTGACCTGCATATTGGCCGCATAACTGTAAGCTCTTTAAAATATTGGTGAAATAGCATACAGTACTCGCCCAAAAAATCTAAGTGCTCAAATGACTACTAAACAGAAATCATATATGAACGTTTTTACATCAGCAATGATGGTCCTTAAGAAAACTGGCACAGCGCATATTTTTTCGAATAATACTTCTTGATGACATCATTTTCATGGCAATGATCTATGGGGCGCCTGGAGCAGTACACCAGTACTTGATTAAGTGATACGTTTATTCCGTTCAACAGCGCTTTTCATAAAAATATATGCGGCATCGCACATTTAGCGTCCGGAGAGTAATATCACCTTCAAAAGCTGACGTTCTCGGCATTTGTGAGAAAGGGCATCACTTTGTAAGCTCTCTGGCTTCAATACATAGTGCGTCACGTTTCATAGTACATTGTTGAGCCTAATGCCTACACATAATGAAGTCAATAAATACATGTCCTAAAGCCTACGCATAATGAAGCCTACACATAATGGAGGCATGTGGGACACTTGTACTTGCAGCTTTTAACTGTAAAGTAGCATCCATGACATGGAAGAACAATTTTCCAGCGGCAGAAATCAAACTTTACTGTTTCAGAAAAAGCGGCCGTAGCTTTACCAATTGATGTACGGTGGCGGTTATTCTCAGTTCATTCATCTGGTACCTCTACGCACGTTCTCTCGGAAAAGTTAGCATTGGAACTATTGTGCCATTTCCATTCATGGCTTTCAGTGACGCTTAATAACATTCCGTGCTTGCACACAAGGACACAAGGAAATAGATGATCAAACGGATCGGAAACCGATTGTCACACTAGTCTAATCAGAAAGGCATTTCACACATTATACAAAAGCTGTTGGGCTTGGCCTGTACAAAACATGAAGAGTTTTTAACAGCCGAATTTCGTAAGCCAGCCATATTCGGTGCAATGCCGGCAAAAAAAAACGCCGCGCCAGATTGACGTCATCATACGTTGCCTAGTAAGCGAGCGCACAATTTTGCGCCTGCTTTGCTAGCCCTTACATGGCTCCGCCATCAGCCTTCTTTGACGTGCACCTAAATTTGAGCACATGGGCCTACAGCATTTTCGAGTTGAACATGCAGCCGCCGCAGCAGGGATTTCATTCCGCGACCAGCGGGTCAGCAGTCGAGTACCTTAGCCACTAGACCACCACAGCGGGACAACCGCGAGCGGTGTCCTTCATTCTGAGTAACACTGGCACTGGGCGGCGTTGCGCCAGAGGTAGACATGGCAAGACAGAAGAAGGTTAGAAGTGCCGATGAGAAAGCTGCTTACTGGGAATTGGTGCCCACTGCGAGAGAGAGGGAGCACACGTTACGAGACAGCACACGCTATGAGGTCGTGGGCGCCGTTTCCGGCGTCCGTGGCATAGTGCGGCCACAACGACGATTAGCGACTGCTTGGTCTTGAATGAAACTTGAAATCAATTCTCTTTACTTGGTAGAACGTGACGTCATTTGGCATTACCAATATTTATTTCTAAACACCAGTGCCAGCTAGAACCAAATCACTTTCACGGCGCTTTTAGCATTGCGCCACTAATGCGAACTATGCGAGGTCTATGTCGTTCACTTCATTTCAGTTCTATTTATGCTATATTTAGATTACAATAGCTGGCCTCTATATGGGGCATAAAAGAGAAGCATAAGGGAAGTACAAATGTCCCCTATGCCTACTTTTCTGTTAGTGTCATCACCCTGCGCTAAATAGTTGCTTTTAAATGCGAAGCATTTTTAGGGGCACTGCAGGCACTTTGAGAATCTATCTATCTATCTATCTATCTATCTATCTATCTATCTATCTATCTATCTATCTATCTATCTATCTATCTATCTATCTCTATCTATCTATCTATCTATCTATCTATCTATCTATCTATCTATCTATCTATCTATCTATCTATCTATCTATCTATCTATCTATCTATCTATCTATCTATCTATCTATCTATCTATCTATCTATCTATCTATCTAGCTATATATCTAGCCAACCACGTAAGGGCGCTGTTGTGATCACCCCTTTACTTTAGGGTGGACCAAAATTAGTCTGGCAAGGCAAAATATTTTGACAAATACGACTTGAAGATCATGAAATCAATAATGTCGGAATCCTATGACAAACACTTCCCGCCAAACAGTGGCACATACGCGAGGGTGGGCATGTGTCACTGGTATGCGGGTATGTGCCACAGGTAATTGACACTCAGTATTGACCATGGAACGACGAGGACACAAATAGGTAATTTTAACGCGTGAGCGTTAAGAAAAACTTCACATCCGAAGCATTGAACCGATGAATGCAAAAAATAAATGTCAGCGTCCCAGCTCTGAGCGAGCCCTATCACGCTGAGTGGTAATAAAGCATTCTGCCGCAAAGCTACGCGAGGTCTCGGGGATTCTCAAATGAACCCTTATGGTCTTGAAACGTTACTTCTCAAAGGAGAGTGGCTATTCAATTTTATAAACATGACACATGTATTCCTATGATACAGCCGTCTCGTCAGGTTAACGTGCATCGTCGTTAGGTGCCATCGTCTGAATTTGCTTTCTATACCAGGACTACCATTCTCACGAGCAACAACGCTTTATATAAGCTTACCGCTTCTAGTTTTGCTAATATCCATCTTGCTGTTAGAATTGTTACGCAACTGTAAATAACTCGTTATATAAAACATACGCGGCTGTTTAACGTATGTGTGTGCGTGCACTTTAGATATCTTTAGCGTCCCATTGGGACCTTTCATTAAGAACTATACAGCAAACTCACCTTCCATGCGCATGCTTCGCATAACAATAATTCTGACATTATGTGGGGCCTGCCGATTTTTTTTTCTTACCGGTTGCCAAAACTACCTTTGATCGCCTGCTAATAGAATTCCATGGTGAAATCAGCACTCAATTATTGCGTGGCAATGAAGCGATTTTTTTTAAATTGATATTTCTAAACGTCCATATATATTCGATTTGTCTTCATTCATTTTTGTGTGGTGAAATTGTTATGCGTATGCTAATGCATGTTTAAAAGCCTAATCGATTTGTCTTGGTTCGTACTATTCACTGAATTATGCATTTATTCCTAATCAATCAAAGCTTCACTAGCCAACGAGGTTACGTACGAGAACCGGCGCATTCAGCATGGTATGGCCGAGGGCACGAGGTTACGGGATGAAAAATATTTTTCGAATTTTTTGTGCTGCAAGTGCGAAGTGGCACAGGAAAAAGAAAATGAAAAAAGGAGGCACATAAAGGTAGTTGTTGGCTTTATTTTGAGCAGGAAGCTTCACAAAAAATAATAATTACTCATACTCAGTAGACGTATTTCTGAGAAATATTGATTTTATGGCATAGAGTGGCGTTATTTACGTAGTAATTGAACTAACCAAAAGCCAGGCTACGTTCTTTATATGCAATGTTGCGCAATCAAACTTGCCTACACTGTGACCTCAAACACAATTTCGAACATGCTTCCAGTTAACAGGTCATTAAATATTCCATGCACTCTAACCGTACGGTGTTGCAACAATATGAAATGTTACGTGAGGAGGCCATTCGAACAGCTTGCTCATTATGGTCCATTTGCTTGAACATAGGGATATGCAATTGCAGGTCTGAACTCCTTTCATTTCACATAAAGTATCGTTGTGTGCTACACTTAAAAGGTGGCATAGGCATGTATATGCTTAGAAAACTGCACTTGTATGAGGTGCTTCGATGTTTTAAAAACTAACTTCACTAAAAGCAATATTCATCGGTGAGGTTTCACACTGAATACAAAGCATACC